TAGATAGATAGATAGATAGTATATATGGTATACACATTTTTATCGCGGCAGCCAGTTCACCCCAGTTCCCCCACCTCAGGGTTTGGACTTTTAGGTTTCGGGGGTTTGCCACTGTCAGTCTAATCCTCTTCCCAATTGTGCGTGTCTGGTAGTCAGCATCTCGTTATCTGTTTCTACGTGTCGTGCCGAACATCTCCTGTTCGGGATTCCGGCTCTTCCTGCACTCCGTTATTATCTATTATTGGAGCTTTGGGTTTTTGGCATTCCTTTCAGGGTTTTCTGGCTGTTAAGAACGAGCCACAGTTCAGTCGTCTAGTGTTGGGGATCAGAACAGACACCCCCGCAGCAGCAGCAGCAGCAGCANNCTCACAGACCGGTTCCTCCTCTTCGGTGCGATTGCTCGCATCCAGGGACGAGATGGGAGTCTCAGTCGATTGGTTGGAGGTTGCCGGCATGGGCATTGCAAGGACAAGCTGCCCCTCCAGGGCTTCTATCCGATTAATGTAAGCTTGCGTTGCTGAGTTGAGTTAGTAAACCTGCCACGAAGGCCATCCCAGCAAGACACAAGCGGCGCTAACGTCGACTGAATCGCTGAAACTCTGTGCTATTTTCATTCTGCTCAATACTCAGATATATTCAGTATCTTCATCTCCGTGCATCTGTCCCATGTGCTGTTAAAGCGGAAAACAGCTGCATGCCAGGGCCATGCATTCAGTACAATACGGCGTCATCAATGGCAACTTTGCAAAAGCAATGCCAGCAGCCGCAACCGGAGCAAAATCTCTACTCAGCTACAGTAGGACGACATCCGACTGTGGCGGTTAGAGAGAAGCAACCCAGCTCATGCACTGTGTTGCTGTGACTTGCACCTCGTCTTGGTCGGTCCGATTTCGCCTGGCCTCGTCATGTGAAGATAAGAAGCATAATTCATAACAGACTCTTTGATCTCAGAACACCTGCTTCCTGAATCTCGCACCATATCACAAGCCCCGGACTGTTCGTAGCATGTGCTTTGGAAACCGATCATCCATCAACCTCTTCGAGAAGTGTCGATGTTTCTGCAGGAGACAAGACCCTGGTTCTCGTGCCTCAAAAGCCGCATCAGCATTCAAAATGCTTGTGTTTCGGGTGCCCATGTCTGAGCTTAGCAGCCCTACAAGTATCGGAAGGCGGAACTGAAGTGCTCAGGCACGCACACGCTGAAAGGTCGCACACCGGTGTAGAGCATGGCAATAATGCAGCCTGGAGCTCTCTCTGCGTCGTGCGGAGCTGTTGGCTGTTCGACCATCACAGCATGGCTTGCAAGCGCTTTCCGCGTTCCATATACCCCTTTAGCTGCTGAAGCCCCCCGCAGCCTGCACTCCAAATGTCCAATTTTTCATCCCATTGCAGGCCAAGTGCAACCTCCGGGCCTCAGAGAAAGGAGCATGCAGGCTGAACCGTGTCTTCTTTGATCAGCTGCTTCACATGTTTGTTGCCCTTGCAGACCCTCCGGACGGCTCAAGAATCGATCACTGTGATCTGCAAGAATGTCCGAGAAGGCTAGGAAAAACAGACCAAGCTTCCGACTTCTAAACTGTCTCGTGCAAGCACGGAATCGCAGAGCCGAAGTCGACGATGCTACCTGCATGTCACGTGCGGGACTTGTGACACAGCCCATAAAGGCGCAGACAAATCGAGGCTCCTGCAAGGCCTCCTTGCCGGGATCCTCGCGAATGGCACTGAAGGGCACTGATTCTGAACGACCTCGTCAGTAAACGAAGTAAACTGCCCTGCGCAGGGCTAGCGCGTGGACGACTCTAAACTACCCGCACTCAGTCCCGCGGGTGCGGTGCTGCACAGTAGCGCTCGTCGTTGAGCATCACGTTTCGACACCTCCTGGGATAGTTGAGAATATTCGCTCTCCAAGGCCTACCTGCATTAAACGCAGTGCTTGAACCAATATGGCATGGCCCATGGCTGGGGCCATGGCAAATCTGTGTGTAAGATACCTGCGTCAACGACCGACAAAGACCCGAACTGTGCTGCCCATACCCTCAACAGGGTCCACCATGTTTAGCAGGATTTGACCGGCCAAACTTTACGAGGAAATACTGGTCGCTGTTCTGTATCTATCAGCTGCCCACTTGGCTGCAGTGCTGCCAGTGCTTGCATCTTCACAGATCTCCACCCGATCAACAGAAGCAGCAAAGTCTCGCAGCATAACGACAATAAATCGCTTGCCATGATATCATGATTATTTCATGGCAAACCTCTACAAACATCCATGTTCGGTCTACATAGTCTTCTTGTAGAGCGTCGGCAAATCGATATTTTGGGCTGACTCTTTGCGCGGACATGCAGCCATTGCAGGCACTTGAAATTGTCTGTACATGTGTGTCTATACATGGTGTGCGTTCCAACATCCTTGGTAACCGCTTACACGATAATCAAGATCTACGAATCAAAAAACTGATTCGAAAAATGTACAAAATGTGCAACGACGGTTTTGTTACCGGTAGTGAGATCTTGTCTGGGCCTAACTCATTTCTAACCTTGCCTGCTCGATGTTCATGTCTACTCGTACCTCTTCAACTGGGTCGCAAGTCTCTCTGTACAATCCCAAGCCAAAACCAA